GCTGACTGAAAGCCGGTTTCTAGGGTTTTGTTTAGCTTCTATATTTGCAACATAGTTGCTTAGAGTTGCAGCTGAGAGGCCGGCAAGTCAGGCGGGGAACGTTGGAGTTCGCCATCACTGGAGCAAGCAAGCCTCCCTGTTCGCTTCAGTGTATGGCTGCCGGCCGCCAATTTGGCTGACAGTTAATTTGCATAAGGATATGCTGATTAGCCAATGGGAAGGGTAGCGGTCGTACGCTAATTACCATGTTTCTCTTTTATTACTGTATATGAGAAGTATTATGTCCAAAATGAGTAGAGAATTAATAAACAAAACAAAAAAAACTTCTCTTTGAGATGTTGATGAAAGTGGTCTGTTAAATTGACTTACCAGCTAGGTAAGTCAGTTCTCTTTCACACAGTAGTCTCTCAGAAAATACACTTCAGATTTCTGTTACACATTACTATGTCATGTACCTTTAAGGCTGCTTTAGTCAAAATCACAATTGTTAAACTTGTAGGTGTCATCAGTCTACTTGTATTGATATTTTATATGGGAATTTCCCTTTCCTAGAAAGCAAACCATAGATACATCTATTTTTACGACATTAGATGACAAAGAATATGATAGTGATTCAGTGTAGTGTCTCATGTCGAGAGTACTAAAAAGAACTTTATGATAAAGGATTAGCCTTTATTTTATATATTAAAAATATCCATTTTATGTGAGGTAAAATTGATACATAAAAATACTGAAGTAGTTTTACTTGGAGTAGTATATTTCCTGGGTTCAGTTTTAGTGCCATAACTTTCAAGTCTTTCTCCACTCCTGCATGCCCTCATTGGATAAAAATCATATACTAACTCCACTCATCTTGGTCATGTTCCTCTTCTGCCTCTAAACCTCTTCTTGTGTCTCACTACTCTTAGGACAAAGTCCAAGCCCAGTAATTTGGGCCTTCTACTATTTGATCCCAACATGTGTTAATAGTGTTAAATCATAGTATTTGCCTCAATATTCCTTTGTTTCTATTAAACTGAGTTGTTTCCTGTTATTTGAATTTGCTGTCATTTTTCGTAATTTTGTTTATGTTGCTGGGAACCAGGGGAAGTTAAAGCAATTGGTCTGTGGTCTATTTCTCTTCTGATTCCCAGGGGAATATTAGGGAAATAAAGAAGACAGGTGGCCTGCTCTTTTCTCCTTGACAACATGCTGATAATTTAATCTTTTAGTGAATACAGACTAGTGTTTGCTATGAAGAGAGTCCTTCTCCATGGAATACACTCAGCAGGATAACTCATTTGGTATTGCTTATGGTAAACAAACCTTTAATCTATGAAACTGTGAGGTATGCTTCTTTGAAGAATATTACATAGCAGTACCACTCTCTGGCACATAAAATGGAAGTATTTATGTAACTAAATGCTCACCAATGTGTAAGGTAAGCTGTATGACCCACATAGAGACTTCACCTATTCTGGACCAGAGAGTGCTGTCCACTGAGAGGAAAGGGTCTGGGAAGAAATTCCCAGGCTCTTTCAGACCTCTCTCCCTGTTTTGTCTGCTCCTCTTGATCACTTTAACCCTTGAAATTATTAGTAAAGTTATTGATTATCAGTAAAAGCTCTCAATTGAGTGAGTCTGCCTTGACGGTCTAAGCCAGTATTGGCTCACTCACTTCCTCTCTCCATTTTTCTTTGAAATTCATCCCATATTTCAAAGCCTAGTTGAGAAATCTCACCAAAACCTTCTGAACATATTCTAGCCTATAGCGATCCTTCAAATGAATCCAAACTCATCTTAGACTTCTTTGACTACATAAATTGCCTGTGACAGTTTTTAGATTATTAACTTCCTTCTTGCTTAACTTCTTTTTCATACCTATGCTTTTACTCTTCAGGTAGCCTGTAAGCTTAAGAACTGGTATTTTATATATTGTGGGCCCTCAAATACTGTTACTTTACTTTAGATTAGAAAATGAAGATAAAAAATCATAGCATTTGAGTGCTTGGAGCCATATTTATATGTTTGTATCATACTGATATTTAAAGAGAAAATCTAATGAAAAAAAATGAAACAGTTCTGAGAAAGTTATTTTAAATTTTTAATCAGACATTAGTTGTACTTTCGATATTATTATACATTTACTCTGAATCATAGCAATATTGTTTGTTTATCTTCTAGAGGGACAGTTAAGACACATAAAAACTGGGGAACCATTTGTTTTTAACTACCGAGAAGACTTGCACAGATGGAATCAGAAAAGATACGAAGCTCTAGGAGAGGTATGGTCATATATACAATGTCTACCTTATATTTTTCAAATTTTGAATAGTCCAAATAAAAGTTTTAAAGTTGAAGTAGTTTATGGACTTGTTCTACAAAAAGTGATTTCAAAAAGATTTTGTTAGATTATTTTTTTAGGTTATTTTTAATGGTTGTTAGAAATGCATTGTCAGTTTAAAAGTTTGTTGTTCTACGTACATATCCTTCCTATGACCTTAATATTTTGTAGTGAGTCATTATATTAGAAACACAATGCCAATTTTTTTTTCTGTTAATAAATCTTTATTGTTCAGATTATTACAGTTGTTCCTCTTTTTCCCCCCATAGCTCCCCTCCACCCGGTTCCTAACCCACCCCCTGCCCTTACCCCTCCCCCCTACTATTCTTGTCCATAGGTGTACGATTTTTGTCCAGTCTCTTCCCGCACACCCCACACTCCCTTCCCCCGAGAATTGTCAGTCCACTCCCTTTCTATGCCTCTGATCCTATTCTATTCACCAGTTTATTCTGTTTGTCAGATTTTTTATTCACTTGATTTTTAGATTCACTTGTTGATAGATATGTATTTGTTTTCACTTTGTTGTTCATAATTTTTATCTTTACCTTCTTCTTCTTCTTCCTCTTAAAGAATACACTTCAGCATTTCATATAATACTGGTTTGGTTGTGATGCACTCCTTTAGCTTTTTCTTGTCTGTGAAGTTCTTTATCTGACCTTCAATTCTAAATGATAGCTTTGCTGGGTAGAGTAATCTTGGTTGTAGGTTCTTGCTATTCATCACTTTGAATATTTCTTGCCACTCCCTTCTGGCCTGCATAGTTTCTGTTGAGAAATCAGCTGACAGTCGTATGGGTACTCCCTTGTAGGTAACT